ACACACACACACACACACACACACACACCGCCTCTTTCAACTAAAAGCAATTTTTTATAAAAATAGCATATACAGCTTTTTGTGTGTTAGCTTGTTTAAATGGTCTATTTATAAACGTAAAAAAAATTTCTGACGAAGTAATTGTACAGATGAATAGAAGAAATTATATTTATTCAAACACAATCACACTACACACACACACACACATACACCGTATATAGGTATATGTAATCTAAAACAAACTCTCTACAGACGAAAGAATTTTTCACAGTTGTAAAAATTGACAACTACAAAAAAGCTACACGAATAAAAACGAAGAACTTCTATTGATACAAGAACCATTTGACATTGCTAACAGGTTTAATGCAAAAAACTAAAAAATTTTGTGGAACGATATCAAGTTAAACTTTCCATAAGAATTTTATTGAACATTCGCGCTCCGGAGGAAAAACCGGCTTTAAAATTTCCATCCTTATATACAATTTTCGTATAAAGCTCATGCGAAAAATGCGTATCCCTATGGAAATTTCATTCTTCTCGAAACCTACTTTTGCTTGATATTTGCAAATCCACCTCCCCTCCCCCTGTCATAAGACTTTCCACGGAAAGATGATCAAATTAGTAGTAGGCTAGAAAAACGGCTAAAGTATTCGTAGATCTTTCAGTGCGCTTTTCTCGTTACGGTTTCGTTGTATGCTCGCATTATTCCCGCTCCAATACAGTACAGTCAGTCAGCCGGTCGGCCAGTCTCCGGCACGAAAATTCTGCAATGCCAAGGGGAAGCTTCGCGTGCGGCCGGACGATAATGCAAATCGCTCGGGGACGATGATTTAACGTTTTAACAGCAGATTGTCGCGACCACGGAGACCGCAAAGGGTTACGACGAGCGGTCGGCTGAGCCCTTCGAGCGCGCACACCGGTCCAGCTTCGTCGTTGTCGTCATTGCTAATTATTTATGCTGCCTGATCTTCGCACCCCTCCCTGTCTGATGTTAATTGAATTTGCCTTCGTCCATGAGGGCGACTGTCCCTGGTAATTTTCGCTGGTGCACAGCTGCCGCATGATGGTTGAAAGTCGCATGCTTGTTTAACCCTTTCGTTCCTAACAGCTGTTATAAAAGATATTTATTGCAATTTTACGAAAAATATAATTAAATATAATTATTATATTTATATAATATTTTATACAATATTTATTATATTTTACTTTTTATATAATGCAGTAGTTTTGGATAAAATAAAAAATATCTCTGGAATTTAATTTGAATGTAAATGTTACTTTCTATAAAGAGTACATTATTTACAGCTTCATAAATTTAAAATTGAATTTTTTTAAATTTGAGATTAAAATTAAATGTATCTTATAGGTATAAAATTTCTATTTTCGTAATTTGATCTCTCTCACCGTAATATTTTTATACATTACAGATAAATCTACGCCTCATCCTCGTCAGTGGCAAGACAAAAGAGTTCCTATTCAGTCCAAGCGATTCCGCGGGCGATATAGCGCACCATGTGTTTGAAAATTGGCCGGAAGGTGAGTTAGTCATTGCCATTTGCGAAATCAGCTTGCACCAATCCGTAATATTCACATTATTATTATTATTGCTATTACAGCGGGATTTAGCATTTGATGCCACCCACAATTATTAATTGTCGATGTGCTACCATGTCATGATAATAGAGTTGCAAAATTATTGTGTAAAATATCTGTATTCGAGAACATCTATTAGAATCTCTGCTAAAAATTTTTAAAATTAAGCAGATTAAACAATTCAGAAAGAAGTGAGAAATTAATGAAAATGTGCATAAAATTAGAAATTTTAATGTGAAATTAATAAAAAGTTAGGAAGTTTTGAGAACAAATTTTTATTGAGAATAATATATATAGTATATATTGATTATGATGATGATGATGATGATGATGATGATGTTTTTTATGTAGGTACGCAGAAAAAAAAGATTGTTTCAATAGCATTATTTTAATTGAAAATGATCTTGTTGATTTAACGACAGTATTTAAAACAATAAATTTTTATTAAAACAAGAATCTAAGTATTTGTTTTATTAATAGTGTTATTTGTTTTAATGAACAACACAAAACACACACAAACATATCAAAACAACATATAAAAACACACACACACAAAATACAACACACAACACAACACAAAACAATAACACACACAACACAACACATATACACATAAATTATTTTTATTTAAAATAATGCTGTTGATTCATCATTTTTATATATAATATAATAAATTGATACAAAAAAAGAGTTTGAATTGTAATATCAAAGAATTATGAAATTATGTGAAGAATGGAAACTATAGAAAATTTCACACTCAATTTTTATGATGGAGAGCTTGTATTCTTCTCGTTTCCTATCTTTTATTACTGCAAATACTTTCATCTGCGTCAGCTTTTTAAGGTTCAAGGAGTTTTGGCACTTTCGGAAACTTTTTGCGAACTGCTAGAGCTGGGGAGAACTCTCAGTATCCTGCAAATGTTATCTTGGTATTGCAGACTGGGCAGAGGAGGCGGTCGCCAAGGCGGAGATCCTGCGGCTAATCTACCAGGGTCGTTTCCTGCACAGCAATGTCACGCTCGGTGCTCTTGGGCTTCCTTTCGGAAAAACCACGGTGATGCATCTGGTGCCGCGAGAGAATCTTCCGGAGCCTAATTCTCAAGGTGAATTCGCGAGATACGACCATGTTATCTCTTCCTTCGTGAAGATCGTTACGAAACTTCTTGTATGCCTTTTCCTTCATTTTCCTCGATAACTCTTCAGACACGCACAAAATTTGCTTTTTTAACTTTGTTTCAAATAAACTTCATCAAAGAATTCCAATTAAAACACACCTTTACAGATTATTAAAATTAAACGGTTGATACATACCTTTATTATCTACCTTTTATTATGTTACACACTCTTATTCACATAACGTATATCGTCTATTTATAAATTATTGTCATCAAAATAACTGAAATTGATTCTAATTATTGATTTCCAGAATTAATAGAAAAATTTGATGCTTTCCTAGACAAATTTCAAAATAAGAAATTTCTTTTTTATTTTGTTTTAATTGTGTGTGTGTGTGTGTGTGTGTGTGTGTGTGTGTGTGTGTGTGTGTGTGTGTACATTAGAATTTTTAATTATATTTTTATGTATGTATTTTATGCTTTTATATATTATAGTATCCTCAGAGAAAAACAAATTACTCGCGGATAAGGGTTAATTCTCTGCGACCCATATAAAACACGTTACGCACACACATACACACATACTCTACCGTATTTTTATTAATATCCAGTTAAATTTTTACTCGTTATCGTTCTTTAAATTTGTTTACTCGCTGTTCTAAACCTAAACTAAATCTATCGCGTCGGTACGTGACGCGTTTGCGTAATTATTACGGTAAAATCTCGTTACAACGAGCTGCCGCCGTGGATCTCCAAATTGAATTTATTACACCAAAAGTTCGTTACATCAAGCCGCGTATTAGACGCGAAGATTCAATCACACTTCGTTATAGCAAAAATGTCGTATTCCATCGATGTTCATTATAACGGAATTAAAAGGAATTAGCTTTATTTAGTCATTAAATGATAGTGATTTACACAGGACGATCAAGAATGCAGGAATATATTGAAAATATACATAAATATATTTTGGGCAAATACATCCTTGAATAAAAATATCTTAAAATATCATAAAAAAGTTGTTGTAATCAATAAAAACAGTATTAAATTAAAAAATATAATTCTATTATAATAAAATTTATTTTAAATTAATATTTTAAAATAATATATAAATGTAACATAAAAATGAATAATATAATAGAAATTGTTATAATATGAATGTTATATGTACATATTTATAATATAAATATGAAATGTATTGTTACATTTTTATAATTGTGTAAAATAATTAATTTTGTTTGTAGATATATTTTGCAGCTTTATTTAACTTGACAGAAATCTTTCGTTTTTATGATCTATAGCTAAGAAATTACTTTTATCTTAATGTTTTCGACAAATTAAAAACAACTTCGAAGAAATCTTTAAATCTGCATTTTATCTACGCTTTCTGACGCATCTTACATGGCGGCACAAACACTGATAAATAGAATCACATGTATCGCTATTGATTTTACGTAGATTATTGTGCAACCGAGTGAAAGTTAGAATATTAATTTGTATAATTACGTCGTCTCATCAAATAATGGATAATCATCAGTTTCTCTTGTGCAACGTCGTCATTATTATTTGTACGAAGTCAATATAATCTCGTATAAAATGCATATTTCGCAACTCTTTGCATTTCCCTTGCAATTTCTCTGCCCCTTCCGGCATGCGTACTTCCGCTTTTGCGAGCTTTTCCGGTGATTCTTAATTTAACGACAATTGGACAGTAATTATACATTATATTGACTAAAATCCGACAATTTATCTCCTTTTTCTTCCTTTCTTACGTCGCAATATCAATTTTATCATAAGCAATTCGTTCACTAATTATTAATCGATGCGACGACAAATGCGACGGATAAAATGCCGGCAGGTAGTTAATAATCAGCTTTGATCGACGGAGAAGATAATCGTTGAGGTTCTATGCATTGTGCAACTTTATGACAATACGTTGCAACTTTACAACACAATGGAGATTTCCTGCTTTCTAAATTGGCTCTTTCATGTAGTCCTAGTATCAGTAACGTAAAGTTTTTTTAGGAGATGCATTACTTTTTTCCGCGTGTTTTCAGACAATCAAAAAAATTCATGACGATAAAAAAAAGTAGGACCAGTTGAATTATTTTTATTTATTACTTTATTCATTTTGTTTAAATGCTTATTAATTAATACTTTTTTTTTATTTATAAATTAATACTTTTGAGACTTCCACGAATACTTTCTACAAAGAAGCTGTGTTTTGCAAGTTATCTCCGTCTCCAGATCTATCGTTAGAATACCAACGTTTGTGAATAGGCTGCTCCTCGCCCTGATGAAGTAAATTGCAATATTCGTGAAACTTTGACATTCTAACAATGAATTCACACACGGAAATAATCCACGAAACGCACTTCTTTATTTATCTAATTTCTTTATTTATTTAATTTATTACAGCTTGCATAGTAATTGATAACTGCTTTATGCTCACTAAATTTATTACATTCAATCTAGAATAACCAACGATATTATAATATTCATACAAAATACATTGTGTGTATTTAGATTCTTTGTTTTTAACATTTTTAATATATAACTCCAAATTATTTTATATTACTTTTCTCATTAATTCTTAAGACTAATATCGATTCTGTTGTAGAGATTGAAGGTATTCGTTTATTGAATGCTTATGCGGTTACATAAATTAATAATAAAAAAAGCGACAGTTATTCCCATTTCATCTTTCTAGGTATTCTTCCTAACGGTGAGTACATGCATATCCTGCCCGATGATCCTGAAAATTATGACATCAACTAAAAAAACACCATCTTAACTCTTAAGCCAACGTGAGTCTTCCCAATTCTTATCCCTGCAAATTCCAACTCCGCTACATGTTTCCACAGTAAATAAATTAATGATATCAAATGAAACATATGTACATGAATTCCCATGCTCAAAACAAAATTAGCAATTAGTATAATCAGACATTTAAATCGTGTCTAAAGAATACATTGATTACATGTAAACAAAAGAGAAAAAGATTGGAACACTTCTTTGACCGTTTAAGTAATATCACTTTAATCACTAATATTATTTGGTACAATAATTGTCATTTTTAGAAAAGAATCTTTATTTATTCAATTTGAATAACATAAAAGAATTAATTGAAAAGATGACTAATTATTATGTACCAGAAAAACCAATTTTCGCAAGAAATTAGTCATTATTGCTGTGATGACTAATGAATTCTTTGTTTCAGTTATTAGGTCGGAGAATTGCTTTACAAAAATCTAAGTAAACTTTTTTTATATTTTGGACACATAACATTTATATACGCGCGGATATACTATTCAGTTTTTTTTTAAGTTTCTTTTTATGCGAAC